CCATTTCCTTCTCTATCTATAAGTAAAGTTTGGAGTTTGGGCTTTAAACGTACTTGGAGAGGAGTATAGTTTCCTGGAGTAGTTGTCAAATCTTTCCCAGGCAAAAAGAGGTAAACGACCCATGTGCCCCCCCCCCCCAATATGAGTTCCTCTACACTAGAGAATGGTTAGTTACGTGAACTAGTGCTATTTTTATAGCCATGTGTGAAGGGTATCGGATGACCTTCACCTCCTTCTTTATTGTGATCAGTAGACAATGGGTACAAAGTCAGAAAATCACAGCCAACGCATAATTTGGTTGCATCCACACAATTTACTTAGGTGTTTCCAGTGTCCCCTTCTACCACTGTGTCCAAGAATGTTTCCTGCAAACACGTGAATCGCAGTAAGCCATATGCCTCGGCCTCTTGTGTCATGTCTTGTTTTCCAGGATGTGTTGTGTGTAAATGTGTACAGGGTGTATCCGCACTGATCCGGACGTGTCTTTTGTGGACAATAGGTAGACTGGTATCACTGTAAGGCTCTGGCGGTTTCATGTAACCAGTGAACATCACCGCATGACATCACCATCTTCCACCCTGCTGGCAGGATGACAGAGCCTGACTATATAGCCAGGAGGCTTCAAATTCCACACAAATTTGTATTTGTCCTCTTTGATTTCTGTCTTTCCCTTCTTCCACTTATTTTCACAGTGTGCCTTTTTCTTGCTGTGCTCTGTGTATGTTTTCCTGCTGCTCTTTGCACCATAGTGAAGTCAATGTGTAATCCTCTTCTGATGCTTCATTAGTTCTGTGTTGTCGTTCTCCCTTATTCATTGGCATTTTTTCCCTTTTAGCAAGCGCTGTGTGTTCTGTCACCCGCTCCTTATAGCTGTGCATTTTCCATCTGCACATTCTTTCTCCCTGCTCTTCAGTACTGTGCATTGTTTCTTCCTGCTCTCCCACACATGAAGGAAGTGCGCTTTTTTCTCCCTGTTTTACTATGCATTCCTCCTCCTTACTCTGTTGTGCTGTGCATTCCCCCTCCCTGCTCTTTACCTCCTTCCCCCCCCTCCCCCTCCCCCCCATGCTGTGCATTCTTCATCCCTGCTCTTTACCTCCTTCCCCCCCCTCCCCCTCCCCCCCATGCTGTGCATTCTTCATCCCTGCTCTTTACCTCCTTCCCCCCCCTCCCCCTCCCCCCCATGCTGTGCATTCTTCATCCCTGCTCTTTACCTCCTTCCCCCCCCTCCCCCTCCCCCCCATGCTGTGCATTCTTCATCCCTGCTCTTTACCTCCTTCCCCCCCCTCCCCCTCCCCCCCATGCTGTGCATTCTTCATCCCTGCTCTTTACCTCCTTCCCCCCCCTCCCCCTCCCCCCCATGCTGTGCATTCTTCATCCCTGCTCTTTACCTCCTTCCCCCCCCTCCCCCTCCCCCCCATGCTGTGCATTCTTCATCCCTGCCCTTTACCTCCTTACTCTGTTGTGCTATGCATTCCTCCTCCCTGCTCTTTACCTCCTTTATTCTGTTGTGCTATGCATTCCTCCTCCTTACACTGTTGTGCTGTGCATTCCCCCTCCCTGCTCTTTACCTCCTTGCCCCCCCATGCTGTGCATTCTTCATCCCTGCTCTTTACCTCCTTACTCTGTTGTGCTATGCATTCCCCCTCCCTGCTCTTTACCTCATACTCTGTTGGACTGTGCATTCTTCCTCCCTACTCTTTACCTCCTTGCCCTCCCATGCCGTGCATTCTTCATCCCTGCTCTTTTCCTCCTTACTCTGTTTTGCTGTGCATTCTTTCTCACTGCCCTCCCATGCTGTGCATTCTTCCTCTCTGTTTGCTACACATTATTCCTCCCTACTATCCGATGCCATACACTCCTCTCGTGCTGTGATTTCTTCCTCTCTGATCTTCCATGCTGCTGCCCGGTCTGCCTCCCTGCCCTTACTTGCTGCCCGGTCTTCCTCCCTGCTCTGACTTGCTGCCCGGTCTTCCTCCCTGCTCTCACTTGCTGCCCTGTGACAGTTTCTCTCCTCCCCGCTGGACACAAAGCGGCGCCCAGCGGAGAGGAGAGAAAGGACGTATGCACCCTTGTATCGGCCAGAAAATGGCACTTTAGGCATTTATACCAAAACTGCCATTTTGAGCCGATGTTTCGGCGGCCGATATATATATCGGTGCATCCCTAATTAGTGGCATAAAACATCGCAACATGAACACTGCACACGTGCAAACCGTTCTTTCGATCTGCAAAATTTGGTGAGCAAGTATTGCTAACAAACGATAATCACAGCAGCACAGTGGCGTAGGGGTTAGCACTTCTGCCGCGCAGCATTTGGGGTCCCTGGTTCAAATCCCGGCCAGGTCACTATCTGCAGGGAGTTTGTATGTTCTCCCTGTGCTTGTGTTGGTTTCCTCCCACACTCCAAAGACATGCTGGAAGGTTAATTGGCTCCTGTCTAAATTGTCCTGTCTAAATGTATGCATGTGAGATAGGGACCTTAGATTGTAAGCTCCTTGAGGGCAGGGAGTGATGTGAATGGGCTGCATAAGTTGCCGGCGCTATAAGAATACCTGTAATAAATAAATAAAAATAATCTAAATCTACAAAGGTCTGTGCTTGATGGGCTGTTTGAGCTAGAAGAGAGAGAGGGGGGTGCGGCCCGCACCCGGGTGACACCAAATTATTTTTTGGTGTCACCCCCCCTCTGAAAAGTCGGGCACTCGGTCATGGACTGAACGCTCAACAGTATCAGGGGAGAGGAGGGGACCCAACGGCATACCTTATCCCGCCGGGTGACTGTCCCCTCCTCTCTCTGCCGGCATCCATTACCAAGATGGCCGCCGGCAGGTATCAGAAGACTGCCGCGCGTGCGCGATGACGTCTCGGTTACCGCTCCGGGTGTCACCCACCCTCGGGACGACGCCCCTGCAGGTATCCACTCAGATATTGAATGTTGAACTAGAATGGACTATGCATTGCAGACATATGAAGGACTCGTCGGGCACCTACATGTTGGCCTTTATTTGATCAGATTATTTGGCCCTTCACACACGTTAGGGTTGCACCGATACCAAGTACCATGCTCGGTGCAAGTACAGATACGTTTCCAGCTCCAAGACTAGACTAGAGAAAAACTCCAAAGTTAGGAGGCCGCTGTCATTTGTAAGGAGCACACGGAGCTCCCGGGATTTGTACATCTCTGTTTTAATGTATGATTTTGTTTTTACAAATATATATATATAAGTAATGCACTGATACCATTTTTGCAAGTACGAGTACTGATACATTTTTGTTTATTGTCATGTGACAGTTTTTCTGAAACAATACAGACTAATGATTTCAGGACAGTGGTGGAGCGCCAGAGCCCGGTCCCAGCTGCAACCCTGGTAGTTCTCATGAAAATGCCAAGTATCGGCGTTGGTACTCAAAGTATCGGTGCATCCCTGACACACGTGCTGAAGCCAACTACTTTACTGTTATTGTGGATGGACGAATCTCTTGTGGATTTCACAGCCAGAAACCAAGTAGCAGACCAAGCTGTCTGTAAAGCTGCCTCCGGGCTGCTTGACTCTATGAACTTTCGGGATGTCTGGCTCTTTGCAAGTCATTGAGGCTTATTTTGCCTCAGTAACATGCGTTGTCCTTTTTTATGCTCTTTGTGGCTGGGCCTCTTTACAGGAAGATCTTATGTTCCCATCCAGACAATGCCGCTCCCTGGCGTTGTCCTGGAATAGCAGGTGAAGCATCTCCTCCCAATCAGCACAGTTCGCTGGGCGTAGGACTCTCAGCTGTCAGAACCTATGTAAACAAATAATTTCATGGCACGTCCAGGCTTGTGTTCCTTGTATAGCCGCATTGCTGAGCGAACTTTAGTCTTTACTGGGAAAGCATGGCTCACTGAAGGGAATGGGGATGAGATGATACTTGTATGCACATGCTGAAAGCATCTTATTCTAATAATTTCTTAAAGGGCAAGTCCAGTTGTGGCTGAACCATCCTTACATCGGTTGGGATTTCCAGAAGTAGGCTTTTGTTCTGCCTGAGCCTTCAAATTTTAAAGAGGAACTTGAGGAAATCTAAAAATGAACCCTTGCATTGGGGATTCCCCTGCACTGCAAGAGTTGATTGTTCGTTTTGGTCTAGGGGGTATTATAAAGAAAATCTATTCGCCTGATCCTCCCTTGGCTGCTGGATCGGTCCACGCAGCCTCTTCTCCCCCTGGGCTCCAGAAGTCTAAGAACCCATGACAGCATCGCGTCTAATGCAGCTGCATTAGACGTGAGGATGCCGAGGGAAATTCCACTGCTAGAACCGAGGGGAATAGAGGCGAGCACTGACTTCCGCACGACCGGGAATCAGGTGAGTATAGCTGCTTTATTCCGGCCTCTAGAGAAAAACGAGCACTAAAGGACAACTATGAGGCAGAGAGCCGCGACTGTCAGTCATCACTCCCCGCAGGGATTCACCCCTCTCCGATCCTCCAGCGCTGACTGGCCGGGAAGTCGGCTGGGTGCTGATTGGCAGGGAAGTTGGGCTACTCAGCCAATCAGCATGGAACCGGCTTCCCAGCCAATCAGGGAGGCGGGGTCATTACTCGCCACCTAGCATCCTAATCACATGGGAAACTGGCTCCATGTTCCCCTACAGTACTACCAGTCAGAAGAAATCTTCCTCTGACGGGAAGTTCTGGTATCAGGGAAGGTATCTGAGCATTTGGGCGAGTACCAGTACTCCCCCAAATACTCTGCATCGGTGCATCCCTAGTGTAAATGTGATGAAAAGGCGCTTCCAGTTGTTCCGTTGACGGCATGATCCTTCTAGTGGACAACCTGTTTATAACAGCAGAGTGTGTTCCACCTGTGTGTGTGGATGACAGGGACTCTTTATGGTAGCAGTTTATTGTTGTGGTGTGTAGTATTATTGTTGTGGTGTGTAGTAGTATTATTGTTGTGGTGTGTAGTATCATTGTTGTGTGTTGTCTTCAGTTGCTACATTGTTCCGCTCTTTCATTTCAGGTGATGATTTCTCCTTAATCCAGCAAGAGATCTATATGGTGAAGGAATGTAAACAGATCAATATTGTGGCTTACTTCGGCAGCTATCTCTGGTACGGTGCAAACCTCTATACCCATTAATGTTTTAGGGCTTGAGTTCTCATTTACTGCAAAAGGAAAAGCTGGTAATGTGTATATACAACAAAAACTTTTCTTTTTAGTTTTAGGGAAGGGTTAAACCCATGTTTTGTGTAATTCGCACAGTGTATGGGGCTTGTCTGCTCCCTTTCAGCCGGCATTCCTCCCATCAGCTAATCGAAACAGCCGGCTGGAAAATCTCTGTGCGATCAGAGATTTTCATATCAGCCAATCAGCTGACAGGTGCTGGCAGCAAAGAATACAAGGCCGGTGTTCTATCAAAGATTGTGACTGGGTTGGAATGTGTGACCGGTCACGTGGTCACACATTTTAGCGTAATCACGCTCACTTTTTCGGTGGTGGAATATGTGACCGGCAAAAGGTAAAGAATTCCAACGCTTGGTCAGCTGTTCCGGGGCAGATCGACATCACAGATGGTATGTGCAGGAGAAACGATATGCCCTGGAACAGCTGACAAAGTGTTGGAATTCTTTACCTTTTGCCGGTCACATATTCCACCACCGAAAAAGTGGGCGTGATTACGTTAAAATGTGTGACCACGTCACCGGTCACACATTTTAATGCAGTCACAAACTTGGATAGAACACCGGCAATTATCTAGAAGTATGTGTTTGTAGATTGTCATTACTAAACATTTCTAAAGGTGTTTTTGTTGCTGTTTTTTTAAAGATATGACTAAAGGGCCGTTTTAACCCTTGCAGTGCAGGGGAAGCCCGACTGCAAGGGTTATGATTTTATATGCCTGGAGTTCTTCTTTAAGCCAGACATTTCTTGCACTGGGCACAACTTTAGGACATGCCCAACCTTTTTTCTTAGCTTGTTCCTACAAATATATACTGCTGGAGCTTTGATGTGGTCTCCTATAGTGTTCACTCTGGTTAACACCACAAATTTAGAAGAAAAGGAACATAATGAATACCTGTCATCATTTTCTCCTGTTAAAGAGCGAGGCAAGGCATCAAACTTGTCACGCCGTCTGCTAATAATTTTGTATGCTTGTGGTTAAGGCTGGACCTCCGCCGTGCTAAATGGCTCATCTAAAGTAAAATTCTTTGCAGATAATAATCTCCAATCTGTCTCGTTTGCATTGCAGCCGGGAGAAGCTATGGATCTGTATGGAGTTCTGTGGTGGGGGATCCCTGCAGGACATCTACCATGGTAAGGCACCATCTGGGGTTACAAGCAGTGTTTAGTGAATGTTACAGTAGAGATCTTGTTCACACTAGATGTGTCATTCATTTTGCATCATTTTCTAGCACAGACTTAATACATACAAGAAATTCCACTGTTTATTTGTAGAACCCGCTCACACCAACATGGTGCACTGATATACACCAGCTAAAAAGCCTGACTCCTGCAGTGAAATGAACGCTGAACTGCAATTTGTCATTTATTAGAGCTGTGGTTCTCTACCTCAGGACCCACATTTGTCCTTGGTCATCAAGTCGCAACCCAAGTTGCACTGCAAAGGAATTCATGGCATTGCGGTACCACGCATTCCGATATGGGCAATAGAAATGTTGGTGGTAGTTGCGTTTGAGGTGCCATTCAAATGAATGGCAATGCGCCTCTTACACCAGAATGCTTGGTAGGTGCAATTGTGTGGTACAGTGCGTTAATCGCACAGGACTGTGTGATTAACGCACTGTACTAGGGTGAATGGGCCCCCAAAACACTGACACACACCCACCACAGACACAATCTGACACACTCAGACATTCTCTCACACTAATATGCATTCAAAAAATGTTTTCATGTTTTTGTTTTTTAATCCACCCAGTCTCTCTATCTTACGAGAACTGGAGTGGTTCCTCAATATGAGGTCCAGTGTGTACTGCTGTGCTGTGATTGAGCTCTATCCATATGTGCATCCACTTGTACAACTCCCATGCACACCATGTAGAGGTGCCAGGAGCCAGAATGTGACATTATTCCGGTCCAGGCTCCTCTACAGGACACGTGGGGGAGCTATAGGCAATGCACTTATGGATGGCGTTCCCTCACAGCCATAGCCCTAGCCTACCCCACCTCTAGCTGACACTCGGCACCGGGCAGTATATTTTGAAATAGCTGGTCGGCATGAGAACTGACAGTGCTGTGCTAGGGGGAGGCTGAGGAGCCTCTCACCTAGAAAAGTGGAAGGCACGCAGGAACCCACTGAACACTAAGTCGTGACCCACTTTTGGGTCCTGACCCACCAGTTGAGAACCAAGATATTCGAGCATGCATTTTCAAGTTCATCTGATGTAAATGAGCCCAGAAGAAGTTGTTGTTCTGCATGGTTGGCTAAAATACAGTAAACAGGCAGCAAAGGCTCTCTGTGGTCACATGACCTAGGGAGCCTTGACATAAGCCAGTGTAAAGCTGGCCATACACCGTAACACTTTGTGGTGCCGACCCACTGCGAATCTCGGCTTTTCTGTTCAGCAAGAACCCGCTGCAACACACATCCATTGGCAGGTGCACTGTGCATGGCACCACATTGTACCGACGCATGTAACATGCATTTTGGTAATGCACACCTTACTGCAAATAGATGGCGTGATTGGCCCTTTAACAGATTGATCATGCGCACTGCATGTGCACCATTCTGCATTTTCTCCAAGAAAGGTAAATATTTCAGACCTTCTATTACACATTAATCATTGCCAGCAAGAATGTTAACATGGCTTCTCAATATTTGCATGCATGCCCATTTTAATTTTAGACGTGCTTTCAAACCAGTTCAGCAACTTCTTGTTTAATGAAATCACGTCGTTCAAATCACAGACTCTAAAGGTGCCCATACACCTTACGATTATCGTACGATAATCGTATGCGATCGACTTTTCGTACGACAATCGTAACGTGTGAATAGAGTGCCCGACCGATAGTACTGTACAATCGTACGACTTTTGACGGTCAAGCATGTTTGAAAACTTTGGTTGATCGTACGATGTTCGCATGGTTGGTGGCGTTTCCGTCCGTCAAATGTCGTACGATTAACACTGCGCATGCGCAAACGAAAATAATTGCGGTCAATTACCGCAAGTCGTCCAGGTGTTTTTTTCTAACTACCGCTGATTGAACCTTGCGATAATCGGGGCAGGATGGGGCCGTCGTACGAAAATCGTACGACGGTTCGATCATCGGACGAAAAGTTTAGTCCGATAATCGTAAGGTGTATGGGCACCTTAACACTTCCATAAATGTCTTTTTATTGACTTCCAACAAAGGTTAATGTCCGGCCAGGCAGCAATGCGTTCTTCTATTACATTGCCAGTGAAATTCTCCCAGATGGGCAGTCATGCATGATACAAAATAGCAGGAGCAGCCTTTCTGTTTGAGAATTCTTTATTTATTGTTACATATTCTCCAGCAGCTCTCGGTCACAGGACCCTGTTCTCCAGATGTTTTCAGTAAGTGAGAGTAGTTGATAATCTCAAAGGAAACCAATATTTTTCTTGTTTTGTAACTCTGATCTTTATTAAATTACATATTTGTAGAAATACAAATAAAACCTAAACCTGGAAACTAAAACAACGTATGTGGCTTTGGGCCCGTTCACACTGCGCCACAATGCAGTTCAAAGTTATTGGGCTCTAAATCTAAGTGCGGTTTTGGGCGTTTTTAATTGCGTTTCAGCGCTGAAACACAATTAAAAACTCCCAAAACCTTCCTTTTTGGAATCAGTGTGGAAACCGCACTGATCCGCAGCCGCGCTGGTATGAATGGGCTCTCAGTGAATTTTTTTTTTGCAGTGCATTGCACCCCATATGCAGCAGTTCGTCGCAGTGCTGCTACATTGTGGAGGTGTGTTTGGCGCATACCATACAAAATGACAGCGGTTTACCACGACATGATACTGTGATTTGTTCCTTATACAGGCATGGAATATATATTTAAAAAATGTACACAAATAGGGACTGTGCCTTGTGTGGCACATTATGGTCTCCTGAATCCGGGGACTGTGGTGCGGAATCGGCATCAAGACAATTCATAGGCATAGTCTTTGTGAATCGGACTGCCTGTGATCATTATTTTGGGCACATATGTGAAAGACTATTCAAATATATTTTTTATGTTGCATGAGAAATCTCATGCTTTCCACTCTTGCTCAGTAGCTTCCTATAAACATGATTGAGGCTTATGCCAGCGGTACATGTATGGAAAGTTGCTGCACCGGCATGGGCAGAGCACAGAAAGTTCTTGAATGAAGGATGTAAACACCATGGAAGACCTCTGCCATCAAGGAGAGAGGTGAGTGGGCACTTGGGACATTAGCTTAGGGTCACTGTGACTTAGTGGTTAGCACTTCTGCCTTGCAGTGCTGAGGTCTCTGGTTTGAATACTAACCAGGTATGGAGTTTGCATGCTCTTCCTGTGCTAGTGTGGGCATCCTCCAAAGCCATGCTGGTCCAAATGGGCCCTATGTGTCGATATGAGATAGTGAACTTGATTGTAAGCTCCCTGAGGGTAGTGCCTGATGTGAATGAATAGTATGTAAAGCATTGCATCAATTGTCAGGGTTATATGAATAACAAAAAATTAGCAGAAAAGTGGGGTTTTGAAAGCACCAGAATGACAACTCCAAACAACAATGAGTCATAAAAAATATAAATTTTAATAATGATAATTTAAAAAGAGGCTCATGGATATAGCCAATTAATAAAAAACAACCAGCTGAGTAGATAGATAAATCCCTATATGCCCACTCCCTTCACAAAAGCCTTCCATTCACAGTATAGATGTTTTTTTAGAAAGGACATGATTTGCATTTTGATTGGAAATTAATAAACATGATCAAGGTTAAATTCATTTGATGTCTAGAGTTGATAATACCATGGAAAAATAAGTCTAAAGACAATGCTAGGAGGATTTAGGAGTGGAGCAGATGTTTGCTCCACTAACACCGCCCTACATGCAGAGTATGACCATTTAAGGAAACCATGATTCAGATGTGATGATAATAAACATGATCTAGGTTCAACACATAGAGGTATAATACATGATCTAAGTTAAAGTAGATAAAGTCCAAAACATCATATTAGACGTAACATAAATAGTAATTATGTGGTCAAAGAATACTGTTGGGAGTGGAGGAGCAGTTTCAACATTTCGCGCGTCTCTGCGCTTCTTCAGGAAAGGGGAGTATCGGTTTACACAAGCTGGTATGTGTGTGTGTCCCCAAACGGGCCTATCCGGGCAGCGCAGCCATATGGTCTTCCCCAGTGAGCAGGAGAACCAAAGTGGGAACCAAAAAAGCCAATATTGAGCAGGAGGTGGGAGGTAGGCAATACAATGGAAGCCTTAAATGAAAGACGTATCTTAGTCTCTTGGTTTGTCCTGAGGTATTTAAAACAGGAAAGGAGAAGCAGTTAGGAGAGACCGTCCCGTCTATCCCCCGAGAAAAACTATCCTCCAGAAGCCTCCCGGCCACCCACTTTCAAAACCCCACTTTTCTTCTAATTTTTTGTTAATTATTACCAGGGGTGCGGCACCTATTATCCAGATCCAGGCCAAAACCTCTTTACAATAGGGTTATATGAATGCCTGTAAGAGCGTCAAATGTATCCATTTCTCTTTACAGTTACTGGACCACTGTCCGAAAACCAAATCGCCTATATGTGTCGTGAGACCCTTCAGGTAACAAATGTTTAGCTTCATCCGTGGTATAAACTCTTTTTGTCTTTGTAAATTGAAATTATGGTATTTTTCCTTTTAATTAAGAACTTTACTTCATAAAATGGTGTTCGGGCAAGCAGGGCTACATGTAGAGTGGGGATGCCACTGCTCATTTATTACAAGTGATCTCGGCGCAGGGGTGAAAGAGTTTCGAGAAGAAGAGTTTGGAGAAGAGAACAATCTAGGCCACAATAGCTGATTTGGAAATATTCTCCAATTCAGAATACTTTCCAGTTGAGCGATGTTGTCCTAGATTGTTCATTTCTCCTGCCTTCTCCAAACTCTTCACCCTTCTGTGAATAGCCATATAGAAATTGTGTTTTGATGCTACATGAATTTGTTGCCTGTAGCAGACAAGAATGAAAGCCTAGTGACATATCTAACCGGCCTCAATACACCCAAACCTAATACAAAACAACAAACATTTCTTAAGCTGTGAAATACTTTTTAGGTTTTCAGTGTTCTCTTCTAACCTCAGATGCGAGCTGAGGAAGTGGTGACTGCAGCTAACAATTCTGGCCTGAGTCTTGTGAACCATCCAATGTACTGGGTTTTTTTTCTGTTGCATTTACATTCAGCATGTCTGTATTTAGTGTAGGAGACTATGTAAAAGCAAACATATGGCTGCAAATAATCTCTCACAGACCCTATATATCTGTATGTCTGAAGGTGCCCATATATTAGTGGTCCCCAAACTCAGGCCTGCAGGCCAGATGTGGCCCATTGCTTGGCCTACACCAGCACATGGGCATTATCCTTCCCTCTGAAACAAACAATGGGGCATTATATCTCCCCATGGAAACCAACGTGACACTATTCCTCCCACTGACCTTTTATGTGGCACTATTCCTCCCTCCGATAGCAATGATGGAGTACATTTTCTACCACTCCAACAATGGGTCACTATTACTCCCATGACACTAATGATGGGGCACAATTTCTCCCACTTACACTAATGATGGGGCACTATTCCTCTCATGACACCAATGCCGAGGTACAGTTCCTCAGACTGACACCAATGATGGGGCACAATTCCTCCCACTGGCACTAATGACGGGGCACAATTCCTCCCACTGGCACTAATGATGGAGGCACAATTCCTTCCACTGACACTAATGATGGAGGCACAATTCCTTCCACTGACACTAATGACGGAGGCACAATTCCTTCCACTGACACTAATGACGGAGCACAATTCCTTCCACTGACCACCCAGCCTGGGGCATTGTTAGCTCCCTCTGACCTCTGATTCTGTGGCATTTTGGCTTCCATTGGCCACAGTATAGCCCTCTTAAACCTAGAAGGCAGTGAATTGGCAAAACCTTTTTTTTTGTTTCTGATAAAATGGAGAGAGGTCAAACCTCTGTCAAGTTATTATTGAGGTCTAGGCGAGATTTCCCATAGTGTAATGTGTAGTCACCGAGACAGGAAGTATGAAATATCTATGGGGGGGCACAAACTATAATAAAACATTTTTTAAATTTTAATTCCTGTGAGGTCACTAAGATACAAAGTGAGGTAATGTCGTCACCTGAGACGCGGTGGTAAAATTCTGACCTTTCTTAGCACAAGCAAATAAACAATGTATTTGCTGGAGTTGTGTCATCTGGGTCATCCGCAGATGGTGTCACAGGGAGATGTGCTTGGACAGGTTGTAAATTCCCAATCTAGTTGCTGTGGCTTCCTCAAACCAAAAACCAGCGCTGTTTGTATATGCGGGGCACCTCCCTCACCTTTTCTCCAAAGTCTAAACATGAACAGTCACATCGTGTGAACATTTATTTTTAGGGAAGAGTCGGAAGCCTGAGGATAATGAGATTGTGCATGCAAGTCTGACTGCATTGATATGTCATGTGGCCAACTGAAGACTGGATCCAGGCTTTAGAAGGGGGTCAGGCTTACATGCATGATGTGGTCTGCCTCAGGGCAGAAGGTTTGACATAAGCAGATGCTTTGGCCATTTGAGACAAAACAACAGGTTTGCATTAAAACCCTCACATCATAAGCGGTATACTTGCCTTTCCTTCACACCCCCGCCACTTGTTCAGTGTTAGGAGCTGAAGGAAATAGCTTGATGGGTATGGAGGAGCATGTGGCAGCACTGGACCAATCAGTACTGTCATACGGGGAGCCCATAGCCCTGTGTAAGCTATGACTTAAACACTTATCGCATACAAAGGTGCTTCCTTTCGTCGTTCCCGGTTGGCTGAGCGGAGAGGCTTGGGAGCAAAAGGAAGGTTAGTATATATTGCTGGGGTTGGAGGAAATAAAGTAAACCTTTTTTTGCCCTGTTTGGATGCACTTTAAAGAGAACTAGTGAGCACTCCACAACCCTGAAAGCAGCTCTGGTTATTGTAAGTAGAAAGCAGTACACAGGCGGTAGGTGGCAGGAAATCGTAGGGAGATCAGTAGTCAATCGAACAGGTATTCCCACTTTTCTGATGACATGTAGCTGGCAGCATGTAGGGCTAATTCTAGATAAGGCCACAACAGGCAGATCAGGTGATTGACACCTCTTGTCTGTGTTGACAGTCCGCTCCTGAAAGTATTTGGCTGGTGGAATGTAATCCTTTCTTTTGTAGAAGACCTTTGCTCTTATGTCAATGCTGTTCTTTGATGACTCATTAAAATTTGCATTTTCTCATGTTGGTATTTGATTTCTTACATACAGGGTCTGGCATATTTGCACAGTAAGGGGAAAATGCACAGAGATATTAAGGTGAGTGTCGCGACTGTCCTAGGGAGTAAAATGTATGCAATTTTTTTTTTCTTTTTTAATTTCATGGTTTACATAGCGCTGGCAAAATAATCAGCTTTTTCCATGCTGTGAGTTCACATCAATCCCTACCCTTAAGGAGCTTGGGTCACCCATGCATTACATACACATACTAGACAGGAGCCAATGAGCTACTACTACTAGTATGTCTTTGCAGATAGTTACCTGGCTGGGATCCAAACTCAGGACCCCGGCACTACAAGGCAAAAGTGCTAACCATTAAGCCACCGTGTTGCCTAAACCGGCGGTCGCCAACCTCTTGGAACTCATAGACCACTAAATTCATCATTGTAAATCCCGCGGACCACTAATAGGAATTTTTTCAAAATATATTCTCATTTATTTTGTTTCCTTGCATATAATTATATACTCATATGTATGTATATCTATCTATCTATATCTATATATAGATATATATAGACATATATATAAAACCGCTGCATGAGTCCGTGAGAAGCAGCCCCAGAGCCTCCGTGCCCAGCCTGCACGCCATCAGAGGGGCCCGGGGACCACCAAAATGTTCTCGCGGACCACCGGTTGGCGACCGCTGGCCTAAACAAACTTTGGTGTAGCGATTTGGTTATAGACTTTTGGTGGCTTTAGAACAATTTGATATGACATGGGTGACCGGATAGTATTATTTTCATTCTGATAATATTAGGGTTAGGTTTACCCTTAGGACTTGTTTCCTTTGCAATGGTTTTCATGCTGGCTAGCTGAGATCAGTGAGTATGCGTCTTCTGAAAACTGGAATGCAGTTGGCTGTGTATCAGCATGCAGAGCCTTTCTTGTTGTTTCTGTGCACTTTAGTTTCTTTCTGAAAGACAAGCAAAACAGATCAAAATGATCCCTTAAGCTGCCCATGCACTGTTCTATTTTTGTTGTTTTGCCTGTGGGCTAAAGGGAAAAAATAGAACAGATTCCTTCAACGTTTACGAGCGAGGAATCCCCGCTGTTTCCTTGGTATTACCCGAGCAGAGCCGGCAGCTCTGCATTTCTGATCTGCTCCTTCAATTGACTGATCGAGGGATGCCGTCTGAAAGGGTGCCGACAACAGCACCCACTGTGCAAATTTCAAATTCACATAATGTATGGCCAGCTTTGGGGTTAGCTTAAGGAGATATATGTGAAGTTGGTTAAGCTTGGGGCTAGGCTGAGGTCAGCAGTCATAATAAGGCTAATAGTTAGATTTAAGGGTTATTTTGAGATTCACAGCTAGGTAGATTAGTGGTTTAGCTTCTGGTTAAGGTTTAGCTTTACATGCGGTTAGGTTTAGGAAAAACAGTAACTTAAATTCTGACTGTACTTCATAGCCGTTAGCTTTGGAGCCTTAATGTACATTGCGTTAAGGAAGTCTATGCATAAAGAAAGGGCCGCCAACACCCTGCAACGGACTTAGAAGCACACACGGCACTTCCCTCCCCCCCCCCAATGTAGTTTGTGCGTTGTTGGCGAGAGGTTTGTTGTGAGTTGGCCACACTGTACATATTTGTGGGGTGCTATTCATAAAGGACGGTATTGCAATACATCACAGTCATGAGATGCATTGACTGAATGGCCTCTCAAAAAGCGGTTAGCCACGTCCAGACAGAAAATGGAGGATTGGCCTTAGTGAACAATCACATAGCTCACGCTGCGGCTTTTTCCCCCAAAGTCACTGTTTTTTATATCATAAGTTTGTTTTTGTTTTTCAACAATTGAATGAGGGTTATCATGGCGGTTACCATGGTTGGTCTGTGGTTATCCTGAGCCAAAGGTTTGAAATAAGTCATTCTTTTGCACTTGACCATTGGGGGACAAGAATGGATGAAACAGTATAAATGGCAAAGCCTATATGTTACATCGTGGGAAGGCTATTCACTCAGTGAGCATTATAAGGGGCCTATTTATAAAGCATTTGCACAGCTATTCATCCAGCAAAATGGCGGGTACCTTTTTGTTCTGTGTGAGTTCACCAGCTGCAATGAGAATGGGGCAAAATCAAATGGTCTTAGGATATTTTTTTCTTGTTGAATGTTCTTAACCTTCCTGGCGGTAATCCCAAGTGTGGCTCGGGGGTAAATTTTCCGTACCAAAAGCGGTAACCCCCCGAGCCACACTCTGGCATCTTCCAGGTTCCTTCCCTGCCAGCGCCGGCATTGTAGGGGGCGGAACCGGCGAGAAATAGAAGAAAAAAAATACTGAGATAATCATACCACCAGGAAGGTAAAGGCATATTCCATATATATTTTGAATGGCTAGACCCCTAAGTGTCCTATTTAAAGCAGGACTTGGTTGCGTACATTACTAAATATATATGAAAGTTACATGGTTACGTCAAGGCGCCTCTGTAACATGCAATCTTATTTGAATCACTGAGTAATGGCGCATATAAAAGCTTTAATTGAATTGAGAGCGAGCTTTCCTGGGAGTCATCCAATTATTTCCTCTGGTGAAAGATACTGACATTGTAGGAGTGCTCACTGATAACAGGGTCACCCATGATACGGTTCCTATTATTATTGTGCTTGTTGTATTTAGAAGACCGTTTCTTTTATGCAGTCTGTTTTCCTGCTGATGGCTGTAACAGTACAATTCTGCTATTAACAAATTGTATTTCTCACTTAGGGTGCCAACATACTACTTACAGACAATGGAGATGTCAAACTAGGTAACGTCTGCATATCTAATTGTTTTCACAATCTTGCAGAGAAGGTGTCCTGTTATCTTACAGCAGAGCTTGGCAAACTGAAAGCCTCCAGCTCTTGCGGAACTACATTTCCCAGAATACCTTGCAAACCACTGGATGATAAGGCATGCTGGGATTTGTAGTTCTGTTGTCACTGAATGGCATTGAATATTTCCTTAACTCCAGAAGTGCAGCTGTTCATTTAAAGTATATCTAAACCCAAGAACTAAAGTTGAATATACTGTATATTCAGCTTACCAGTTCTTAGATGTGGTGGCTACATTCTGTACATTTTCTGCATAAAAATACCTGTTGATCCTGCCAGGAATTTTAACAGGCTTCCTATCTTATTTCTGAGAGCTGCAAAACACCTACCCCTTATGCAGTGGTAAAAAGGAGAGAGAGGCTTTGTTATAGGTCCAAATCAGGTGAGCACCCTAGGGTGACCACACCAATAGTTCATAGATACAGTACTGTGAGTGAGCGTTGTCACCCTAGGAGATGAAAGGTGTTACTGGCAGGAGCACTATGTAAAAAGAATGTCACAGCAAGGATAGCTAAATCATAAACCTTTTTAAAAATGGGTTGCCTTATGTCCAACATGATTTGGCTTGAGCATAGTGACACAAAACCAAAATGGTTGCCGACCGTGAGCAGATTTTGTTTTTTAAATTGTCAGCATGCAATCACTCATGGATTTTTAATTTTACAGCGGACTTCGGTGTGGCAGCAAAAATAACAGCAACAATTGCCAAGAGGAAATCTTTCATCGGAACCCCATACTGGTAAGGAAGGACACCTCTGTTACTCTACTAGGTGCATTCCGCCTCTTGAAAAGAAGGACAGGGCCCATAACAGCCAATCACATCATCCTTTCTAGTGTAGTATGGGAGAAAGAAAGGGAGAAACTGATTGGTTACTACACTATTTGGCCAAACGTTTGTGAAAACCTGACCATCAGAGCTATACGAGCTTGTTGGACATTTTATTCCAAAACCATGGGCATTAAAGTGTATACACATCCTTAGAAATAACTGCTTATTTTCTCCATTTTGGTCTATTATATACACTGTATACATACATTAAAGTGACACTAAACTCAGGAGGTAAACCTTAAAAATACATCATATGTACTTATACACCATATGTAAGTACATTAACCATTAACAAAAATGTATCTTTGTGTATCACTCGGCTGTAGATCCTCCAATCATCTCTGAATTGGTGCTGACACTGTCCTTCCTTCTGGAGGGGGGCTACTTTTATTCCCCATGGTCCCTGTGTGTGTTGTAAAGTAGTCACCGCTCCAAGCTCACCCCTGTGCTGGACTACAATCTCAATACAAATTATTAAATTAAACATGAGATTGTAGTCCATCACAGGAGCGAACTTGGAGCGGTGACTACTTTACAACACACACAGGGACCATGGGGAATAAAAGTAGCCCCCCTCCAGAAGGAAGGACAGTGTCAGCACCAATTCAGAGATGATTGGAGGATCTACAGCCGAGTGATACACAAATAAGATACAATTGTTGCTAATAGTTACGTTACTTGAATGTATTTTTAGCATTTAACTCCTGAGTTTCATGTCATTTTAAAGCCCATTTTGCCTAATGTATCCGAGTGTGATAAATCAGAACTCTGAATCAGAATTCAACTAATTTCCCAGAAAGAATAAACAGTTTGAGTCTATTATATTGCAGTGTATGTTTGACCATGCTCTTTCTGTCACAGGATGGCCCCAGAAGTGGCAGCCGTGGAGAAGAATGGAGGATACAACCAACTCTGTGATATCTGGGCTGTCGGTATCACTGCAATAGAGCTTGCAGAGCTGCAGCCACCATTGTTTGATCTGCATCCAATGAGGTCAGTTTTGGCTTTGGTTTTAGATGTCCGCTGACGAACAAAGCTTGTGACTTTTTTGTGTCTTTGCTAAACTTGTAGAACAGATTTAGATCTAGGTTGTGCTTTTAAAATAAACTGAAGCAAGCATTCAGATTCCTTGTCGCACATTAGCGCAGCTTTAGAAAGCCCAGGTATGGATTTCATTAAAGCCCATCTATGGCTACCCCAGTGCTTGTTTTTGTCTAGGGGACTGGAGTAATGCAGATTTACTTCTCTGCTCCTGCCGGTTCCCTCTGGACTAGTAGACCGGTCTCCACAACCCCACTGGGCTTTGGAAAGCTAACGGATGCTAACATCGTCACGTCATCATAGCCCTACATTAAACATGAGAACGTCAAGGGACATTCCACTAGCTGGAGTTTGGTGGGGTAATGGGGATCATTTAGGCCTGGTTCACACCTGGGCGTTTTGTAGCGCGTTGGTACGCTCTGCAAAACGCTCAACACTGAAATCCCACCATTTCCTATGGGTATGGTTCACACCTGGGCGTATTACAGGACGTATGAACGCGCTACAAAACGCCCTACGCTCAAAGAAGTACAGGAGCTTCTTTGGGGCGTTTTTGTCGAGCGTTTCCATTGGGATACAGCCAAGTAGCCCTCGGAAACACGCGTTTGTCGCGCGTTTTTTTTACCGCGAGTCACGCATATTCGATACGCCTGGGTGTGAACCCAGCCTTAAGTCAATCTGCTTTACTCCAGCCCCTATACAAAACGAGCACTTAACCCTCGCAGTGTGTAGGTAGCCCCACAGCAAGAGTAGTTTTTTTCTAGTTTATTGCTGTCTCTGCTCCAACTGGAGTGATTCACTCTTCTATTTGCCCTTTTGACCATTATCACCGAGACCGAAAGTGATGGGGAATCCAAAACATTAGATTTGTCACCGAGAAGGAATAGAGGGAAAAAATCTTTTAGTGGGGGCATCTGTTCCAGTGGCCGCTATCTAAGAACGGATTTCCCCTAATTTTGGAAACATTCCCTCTTCCTGTTGTGTCTTTGGGGCAAAAAGTGAAGGGAAGCACCCCAACAGACTGCACTTTAATAGTTATGAAATTACTAAGCTGATGGGGTTGAACCCTTTCACCAGCTTCTTCCACCAAACTGCCCTCCATCTCCATTCTGCTCACGTACAGCAGGCAGGACTAGGAATCCCGCTTTCCCAAAACTAAGACAGAACAGGACACAGAGATTTCTCCACTGGGGTCCCTGAGAGTGCCAGAAGCCAGCGAGTGATTCAGCGGCAAGATTTCAATGGATGTTTTATCTGTATTTTATTTTGTAGAGGAAATCTTTCTTTTTTTAATATTCCCTTTTTTTTTTTATTATAGAGCTTTGTTTCTAATGTCGAAGAGTAACTTCCAGCCCCCTAAGCTAAAGGAGAAACTGAGATGGTAAGTTCATTGTTTTTAACCGCAACTGCAGCCACACTTGAGCCAATGCTCAATTTGAATACAGTAGAGAAGGACTAGAACCTCTGAGTTGCTGACCCATTAAAAATATGCAGCATAGGAGTTCTGGCTTCGCTCAGTCTTTATGACCTGTGTGCTTGTTGATGGCATGGGCTGAGAGGTGAATAGTAATCATCTTCCTTTCAGGGGCCACTTTAATTTGCGTACTTATTTTAGCCAAAGCACTTTAAAGGAGAACTATGGGGTTGGGGCTTCTCCCCATAGTTCTCAGAAGGGTAACTGGAGGACATAAACTAGCGTCCTCCCGTTACCCAAAGCTCAGTATACCGCAAGCTGCAGCTCGCAGTATACTGAGACGCCACAGCTGAAACGGATCCCGACAATTATGTCTGGATCCGCCCAGCTGCATGAGTGACAGCTGGCTCTGCCTATCTAGAGGAAGAGCCAGCTGTACCCGCCCCCTCCCCCATCAATTCCGCCTGTCAGCGCTGGAGGATTGGAGCGGGGAGGGGGGAATCCAGCCCCTCTCCTGTCACGGCTCTGTGCCGTGACAGGATCCAGAAGTGAGCGAATGCCGGTATGTGTTCGCTCACTTCCCGATCTACTGAGCCAACCTGTGACAGTCTCATGGTCACAGGTCGGCTAGAACTATGAGGATGAGTGAAAAGCACCCACCTAATAGTTCTCCTCTCCTTTTAAGGACTATCCTAACCTCCTGCATTGGAACTCTGGCTGTTAAATTACATGCCCTCTAAGTTTTCAGCAATGTTTTTACCTTTTGATTCATGCACATTCTTATATGTTAAATGTTTCTTCTTCAGGACGCCAGTGTTTCATAACTTTGTCAAAGTTGCTCTCACTAAAAATCCAAAGAAAAGGCCAACCGCTGAGCGAATCCTGACTGTAAGTTCCCACCTGCTGCACCATGTACAGTTTGTCATATCTTCTCTCATCTAACCCTGATTTTCTCTCTTCCAGCATACGTATGTGGCACAAGGGGGTCTTTCCAGATTCCTGGCTCTGGAGCTTCTTGATAAGGTGAACAACCCAGATCATCATCACCATTATATTGAGCCTGATGAGGATGACCTGGAGGTAAGTGACTGAACCTTTCTCTATAATGAAGAGAAGGAACGTTTAACGGTGTCCATGCTTTCATTGGTCAAAACATTAGTGTTGTAATTAATTTGCAGTACAATGAAACAGCTTCACTTTATATTTAGCCCCCCTCTCTCTCCCCAACTGTATTCAGCCACTAGGCGTTCAAAGAGTAAGCCCTGTGTAAGCTCCCGACGTTGGCTTGGAGCTTACACAGGGCTGAGGAGGCATGCCTGCTCCATATGACAGCACTGGGTGCCTGATTGGCCAAGTCCCAAACACCAGCACTATCTCGTCAGAAGAAGGGGAGTGAGTCACATGATCCCCTTACCTGGAAGAAATGGGTAGTTGCGGGGGGGACAGGACTATAAAGCAATAAAATGGTGTGAGACTTTAGGGCCGGTTCACACCAAAAACTCCACGTTCCAGTGCATTCGGCCTCTGGAACGGAAGCTGGCCGGCTCCCTGAGGAGGAGCGGGAGGAGGCGTGGCGGTGCATTGAAATCAATGGCACTGAAGCCACACCTAACCCCCCCCAAACCCCCCCCCCCCCCCCCCCCCCGCCCCCCCCCAGCCCGCAGTGCAATCAGACGCGTGGCAAAACTTTGCCTGCGTTCCGTTCCACCGCAAACGCAAAAAATAGAGCAAGCCCTATTTTTGCCTTTGCAGTGTTTTGCCACGCATCCGATCGCACTGCGGGCGTGGAGGCGGTGCCATTGAATTCAATGCACCGCCATGCCCCCTCCTGCCCCAGAATGCAGGGGGAACATTCAGAGGAAGCACTCCTGGTTCAGGATGATGGTATTATGCAAGATGTAAACACAGGTGTGCCTAGGCACCCTCATTTTCCAGGAACTGCACTGCTGTTTTTCAGGAATAATTCCAGACAAAAGTTAAATTTTTCTGAGTTAGCTTCCTGACTTCAGTACATTGGCTGTGTTTCCTGGGTAGCAGTAGTAGTGCACTAGTTGACTGCTTTTTTTTTTTGCCTGCAGTTGACATTCAAAGCCCTGAGATTTTAGAATAGTTTTGGAGTGGGGAATCCCTGGCTGGATTATGGGGAGGAGTAATATTTGTCATTGTGGTTTTCCTGCAGCCAGTCTTGGCGGTGCGACACACCATTCGTTCTACAAACAAGGGAATGAGAGCAGAGAGGACCGCATCAGAGCTCAACTGTAAGTTTCAAATCTGTCTTTATTTCATCTCATCATAGATATTTTTTTCAAGCAGTTGGAATCACTTGGATTAAAGTCGAGCGTCTGGAATTGAACTGTGTTAAAGGGACTTAAATCAGGATCACATAAAACAAAAAACCTCATCAGATATCCACTTCTGTCCTTTTTACATCCTCAAGGCAGCTCTGACAATTCTGGTTCTGTGTGGTGCTACTGTACTGTAACTGTGGTGGTCTCTGGTTGCCTAAGAACTGTGGTGGTCTCTGGTTGCCTAAGAACTGTGGTGATCTCTGGTTGCCTAAGAACTGTTGTGGTCTCCGGTTGCCTAAGAACTGTGGTGGTCTCCGGTTGCCTAAGAACTGTGGTGGTCTCTAGCTTCCTGCATCAGAACTGTGGTGGTCTCTAGCTTCCTGCCATGGAACTGTGGTGGTCTCTAGCTGCCTGCCATGGAACTGAGGTGGTCTCTAGCTGCCTGCCATGGAACTGAGGTGGTCTCTAGCTGCCTGCTATAGCACTGAGGTGGTCCCTAGCTGCCTGCCATGGAACTGAGGTGGTCTCTAACTGCCTGCCATGCAACTGAGGTGGTCTCTAGCTGCCTGCCATGGAACTGAGGTGATCTCTAGCTGCCTGCCATGGAACTGAGGTGGTCTCTAGCTGCCTGCTATAGCACTGAGGATGTATGTATGTCATGTAGGTGTCTGCATTGCATTATGGGATGTATGTCATGTAGGTGTCTGCATTGCATTATGGGATGTATGTCATGTAGGTGCCTGCATTGCATTGTGGGATGGATGGATGTCGTGTAGGTGCCTGCATTGCATTATGGGATGGTGTGGTGGACATGCTGCAAATTTGAGTGTCCACGTTTGGCTCTTCCATGGTTCTCTGCAGGAACAATTATATTGGGAGTAAAGCTTTGCATGGCTAGTAGATTTTCATGCTAACGTTCATTTGAAAAATCTCATCAAAGCATTTGCTCATGCCATCAGAGACCTGACCAATGTCATTTGATGGGGACATTGGATTTTTTGAATTAATGGAGCTTCCCCAAACGAAAACCACGTCCCCTGTTAGAATTTCGTTTGTTCCAAGAAAACATTTCCGCTTTGCTCCTTGGATTATTTTCATCTGAAAAACATATTTTGTTCAAACAAAATTCTGCTGGTGTATTACGAGCTTAACTGGTACTTGTGGTTCTTTGTCATTTCCTAATGACAGGTTCCCTTGCTGAGCGGTTTGTTTTGTCTTCTGTTGGTGGTTCTCCGAAGCATTGGAAAACTAACAAGAGTCCTCTTATGTCCTAATTACAAAAGCCGAACAGAAGCTTTTTTTTATATAATACTTCCTGTGCAGTTTTTTGTCTGCTGCCATTGTGTTAGATTCTGGGCTGTGATATTTGAAGTCCTGTAATTCACATTTGCTGTAATTCCCCCAGAAACAGGAACTAAACACAGCTACAGCTGTCACTGGATGCTTCTTATATACACAGCTTCCTTTGTGTCCTATTGTCAGAAGTGTCCTCGTTCACCTTCCGCACTTCCTCTAGATTCCAGTATGAAAGCAGATCAAATCTGGTCAGTTTAGGGATTACTTTAAACAAGTAAACAGCCAACACGCTTCAACTTTGCCAACGCTGTGCAAATCCAGGTACAAGCGTTTGTTGTACTTTTGTTTCCTTGCTGCAAAACAGTCTTCAACTTTTGTATTGTTCTTTTTTTAAAGTTCATGTTCACATTGGAGGTGAGGAGATTAAGGGGGGATATGATCTCCATGTACAAAATGTTCAATGGTGGCAGCAACATTAGCGATAAACTGTTTAAAATTAATTCCATTGCAAAAACTAGAGGCTGCCACCTAAAATTGGTGGAAAAAAAATTCCAGCACAAGGGGCGAAGGGGGTTCTTTACAGTAAGATCAGTTAGGGTCTGGAACTCACTGCCGCCTGCAGGCAGTGATTTCAGCAAACAATGTGGAATGGTTCAAGAAACTTTTGGACGATTTCTTAACCAGTTGACATCCGCGGTGTTAAACCCCCTTCCCATCCAGGCCATTTTTCAGTATTCAGCGCTGCGGTACTTTAACTGACATTTATTCCGTCATGCAGCGCTGTACTGAAATGAATTTTATACCCTTTTTTGGGGACAGATAGAGCTTTCTTTTGGTGGTATTTATTCACCACTGGG